TACTGATGCTCTCAGCCATTTGTTTCCTAAGTATTTGAGATACTTACTTTGTGATTTTTGTGTCAGCAGTTCCTCATTTTGCCGTGCCCGTTCCAGTCCTGGTCTCTCAGTTCCTGTCTGGTCTCTCGTGCCCTTGCCTTTCGGATCTTGGATGTCCATGCTCTGTCTCTGGGACTCATGCCTCTTGGACCCGTTGAACTCACTCCAGTGCCCAGGAAGCTGTAAGACAAGAACAACAATATCAATATCTACTCACCTGTGTCACTTACCTGCTCCTGCCTAAAAGACTATTCCCCCTCTTCCAGGAGTTCCGGTCCCAGGGCCTGCATATATTGTATATATATCAACACTGTAAATAAATAACACTTTTTTGTAGCCTGAGTCTTGAGTCGTTTTGGGTCTCGTTACATCTGGGTTGCCCGAAATCTAACAGGCAGAAGGTGACTGTAAAGATTCGGCATATGCGCACCCTGGTGAACGCGTGCGGGAATCGCATGAGAGTGTTCATGATGGCGACTGGGATGCGTTGCTTGAGCTCCCGCGGTTGCAGGTGATATTGAAGGTTCGGTGAATGCACAACCTGGTGAACAAGCAAGGGACGAGCGCGAGAGCGTTTGCGATGTTGACTGGGTGGAGTCGCTGGAGCTCACGCGGTCGCCGTAAGGCCGGAGCGGCGCTTTGCTGCAAGGGCCTTCATTGCTGCTTGCAGCTTTAATTTTTTTTTTTTATTTTGTTTGTCAAAAAAGCTAGAAAACTATTTTGTTGTTTGTTTAATTTTACTTTTTTCTTTCCATCCATATACTGTCTCTGTCCTTGCATTAGGAAGAGATTGCTGAGATGAAAAGAAAGATGAAGATTCTGAACAACCAAGTTACCCGTCTGAGAGATGAGATCATTGGAAAGGAAGAGGCCCTTACCAAACATCAGCAAGAGCACAAGCATTTAGAGAAAGATAATAAGACACTTAAGGTACAGCTAATAAATTCCCTATTCAGAATAAGATGCATTTCTGTCTGTGTTGACCTAGAACTTCAACTGTGCCCTAGAAAACAAGACAAACAAACAAATAAAACTTAAAGTAACAGTTTTTAAATTACTTGAAGCCTATAAAAAAGGGCTAATCAAAGGCTGAGTTTTGGTACTAAGGCTCCTTAAGGGTTATAGTGCAAAGCTGGTCCCAATCATAAAAATAAAAAAAACGTGATACCTGAAATCAAGTTCAAGTATCTTTATTGTCGATCTATCACATGTGATACATGAGGTGGAACAAAATTATGTACACGGGGGGTTGGGGGGTCCTGGGGTCCTCATCAAAAATTGTTCAGTAAAGTACATGCGATTTCCTACATTTTGTTGTATTTTAACGGGTTGTTAAACATCTACATTTACCTACATTTGTAAACACTCGCATCCTAACCCCCCAACCCCCACCTCCCCCCTTACTTGACAATTTTGAGCCAACTCTTCTCCACCGAATTCACTTTCCGACTCCACATGTGAAACCTCCAGGCACTCTGTTAGTATACATTCTATCGATTAGTATACAGTAAATTATGTAACATGTTTTGTTTCATGTAAAAACTGACAAGGAAGCGTACGTAATCCAACAAGTTGTGTGGACTTTGATTTAACCACACATACTCACAAGAGAAGAACCTGACAAGTTGTTTAATGACATCAATTTATATTTTGTTAGCAAAGAACAGTCCTAACATTCATTAAACATTACTTCTCTATTTAAAAAAAAACCATCAAAATTGTGCTTTGACAAACTCATCTATAAAACTGAAAAAAATTGTCAATGCAAAAGAAGAAAAGAGGGGGCAGGTATCACTCTCGCTTTGAGTTTATACTCTTTGTCACATGCATGCTATGGGTGAAAAGTGTCCAGAGCATCATAAAAACAACAGCTGAGGAGGTGTCAGAGTTATGGTAAATGAGCTGTACTTATATAGCGCCTTTCTATCTTATTTCAAGATACTCAAAGCGCTTTACATTCCAATCTGTGCCCTCATTTACCCATTCATACAGCACTCTACTAGATCTCTACAAAGCTAATGGAACAAATCATTCTAATGAGACTAATCAGTGCTTTAGATCACATTCAAACACTGATGGGACGCACATCAGAGGCTATGAGAGGTTCAGTGTCTTGCCCAGGGACACTTCAGCATGTGAATGCTGGTGGATTTGAACCCCCTACTCTTGCATTGGAGGACGACTGCTCTAACTACTCAGCCACAGCCACCATTATTTATTTATCATCTCAGCAGTAGAGGGAAACCAGCCACTAGGGAGCACAAGCCAGTGTATCTCTTGTGCCGGTCCCAAGCCCGGGTAAATGGTGAGGGTTGTGTCGGGAATGGCATCCGATGTAAAACACTTTTGCCAAAACCATAATGTGAGTTCATCAAAGCGATACTATACTGGATCGGTCGAGGCCCGGGTTAACAACGACCACCCCCGGTGCTGTTGACAAACAGGGTGCCGGCAGAAATTGTGTCACTGTTAGTCGAAGACTACAAGGAGGGAAACGTGTCAGAAGACAGAAGGAGAATAGGAAAGTGAAGAATGTAGGACTGAGGGTTACAACTCTAAATGTGGGGACAATTACAGGCAGCTGCCAGAAAAAAGACAAAGAGGAAGGCCAAAGAGGAGATATATGGATGCAGTTAGAGAGGACATGAAGGTAGTTGGAGTGAGGACAGAGGACAAAGTGAGGTGGAGGAGGATGACTCGCTGTTGCGCCCCTTGAAAAGGGAAAAGCCGAAAGAAGGAGATCTCAGCAGTAGAGAGGAGCAACACGGTTCAAGTATGGCTCCCCAAATCAGTTTACATATAAGTTTTATTCATTCAAGGCAGTCATATTTGTTCATACCTTTATCATTAGTAAGCCTGAGAGTTGCCAGATCCAAGCAAACAGTTGCCAGAACGCACCCTGTCAAAATAAGAGAGTTCCTAGATTGTGTTCCGGCAGGATCTGGCTCAAATTAAGCACTGTATAGCGGCAAGACACAACATAAGTCATTTCAGACTCCATAAACCATCTGAGCACCATCAAACTGGTTGACCCACTATGTGAAGGTGCTATTTATAAGACTGAGTTTGTTGTGGCTCATCGTACTGCTGAAGTCTTTTGGGTGAAAGATGAAATATTTCAACAAAAAGAAACCGTCCTGAGGACCTGACTTACCTTTGTTGGATTTTCTGCCTGGATTATTGAACATAAATTAGAATAAGAAACAGATATTTTGGAGAGTCATGCCTCAGTGGTACTAGTGGTAATCGGAGCACTCAGTGATGTGACCCTTAAGCTTAAAAAGTGGCTCCTCAGATGCAAGAATGAGTTTTGGAACTGTGACATTAAAAATAGAAGTATGAGGATTGTGTCCCCTGGGTGTGTGTCACCCTCATGTGGCCTGTTCCTGTCCTCACATCTTCCTTCATGATCTTCCCTCATATAATTAGCCCTTGCCTTCCACCTGTTTTTCCCAGGTGTTTGTGTTTACCCTTTGTTAGTGTGCATGTATATAAGTCGATGTCTCCTTGTCAGCTGGTGATTGTCTGGTTTTGCTGGCGGTGTCTGTGTTCCTCCCTCCATGTCTCCCAATATTATGTGAGTTTTGCTGCGACGTCAGCTCTATTTTTGTTTAATAAACCATTATATTATATCAACCTCTGAGTTATCTGCATCCTGCCTTAACTTGAGTTCAACCATCACTCCAGACCGTAACAGAATGACTAGCTCAAAAAAGAACCTAGCAGGCTACCCGTTTCTGACTGCGCTCACTTCGGAAGACGAGCAATGACTCCTCAGAGTGATGTGCAGCTTTGTCGACACTATGGCTACCTCCAGCGACCTACTGGCTAGGTGGGTGTCAGCAAAAGATCCCTAGTCTCCAGAGGATCCTGAGTCTCCAGAGGGTTCCATGCTTCTAGGGGTTCTATGCCTCCAGAGGATTACACACCTGCTATAGTCCTTCAAGTGGCTATGCCTCCTGCAGTCCCAGATGCAGCTGCACCTCCTACGGTCCCTGAAGTAGCCATGCCTCTTGCAGTCCCTGAGGTAGCTAAATCTACTGCAGCCCCTGAGGTATCTATGCTTGATAAAGTCCCTGAGGTTATACAACAACTGTAGTCTCTGAGGTCTCCAAGACAGCTGTAACCACTGAGGTCTCCATGACAGCTGCAGTCACTGAGGTCTCCATGGCAGCTGCAGTCCCTGAGGTCCCCATTACAGCTACAGTCCCTGAGGTTCCTACATCAGCTGCAACCACTGAGGTCCTTATGTCAGCTGCATCCACCAAGGTCAGCTGCATCCACCAAGTTCACTATGCCTGCTGTAGTCACTAAGGTCCCTATGCCAGCTGCAGCCACCGAGGTTCCTACAGCAGCTGCAACCACTGAGTTTTCTTCCCCAGCTGCAGCCCTCATGGTCTCTATATTAGCTGTAGCCTCCATGGTTTTACACCAGCTGCAGGCTCCATGGTCTCTACACCAGTTGCAGCCTCCATGCTTTTTATACCATGTCACATCATCTGCTACAGATTAGCCAGTCCAATTGCCTGCTGCAGATCAGCCAGTCCCATCATCTGCTGCTGTTCCCCGGGTCCCTTCACCTGTGGCAGAGCTTCTCCCCCGTTCATGTACGGTCTCCGAGACACCCACCAGAGCTTTTCCTCAAAGATGACTGGTCTTCTGGCCGCCTGCTGGAGCTCCTCCCCGGTGATGGATGGTCTCCTGGCTGCTCACCAAAGCTCCTCCCCAGCTGCTCTACTAGACTTGTGGCCCTGTGTTGGACGGTCCTCTGGCTGTCCAGTTGGACTTTTTGTGTTGCCCCTTGTGTTGTTGTTGTTTTGTTCTGTGTCTAGTTCCCAGTCTTTGCCCTGTCGGTTTTTGTTTACTTTTATCCTTGTGTTTACCTTGGTGCCCTCCATCCTCTTGGTTCTTCCCTCCTCCCACTTGAGTTTTGTAGGGAGGGATTTGGGAAATCAAGGGACGTCCTTGGAGTGGGTACTGTGAGGATTGTGTCCCCTGGTGTGCGTCTCCCTCATGTGGCCTGTTCCTGTCCTCATGTCTTGTTTCCCCTCATAATTAGCTCTTGCCTTCCACCTGTTCTTCCCATGTATTTGTGTTTACCCTTCGTGTGTGTGTGTGTATATATATAAGTTGGTGTCTCCTGTTCCTTGTCAGCTGGTCATCGTCTGGTTTTGCTCCTGGTTTCCTGTGTTCCTCCCTCCGTGTCTCCCAGTATCATGGGAGTTTTGCTGCCATGCCAGCTCTTTATTTTTGTTTAATACAACATTTTGTTATATCATCCTTTGAGTTCTCTGTGTCCTGCTTGCACTTTGGTTCAACAATCACTCCAGATCATAACAAGAAGACTCAACGGAAAGAAGTTTATTTGAAATTCTAAAAATTATTAAGGCTTTTCTCACTGACCTTTTGTCTCATTTAGCAACTTGTAGCAACTTTTAGGACAGCCAATAAGAGTTGGCATCATTGTCACTTAAAATTACAGTAAAACACTTAGAGGTTTGTGGTAATAACATGATAAAATGTGAACAAGTTCAAGGGGTTTGAATACTTTTTCGAGGCACTGCAACTTCAAGTAGTACTTTCTCATGTGTGAAGATGTTCCTATGCAACTTTGTGTCCTTTAATAGGGGGAGCTGGATTTGTTGAAGCTGCAGCTGGAAGACACAAAGCAGCATGTTGACAGCCAACATGCAGAACAACAAAAACTGCAGAAGTTACTAGCTGACATGGAGAGTGAGAAAATCCAACAGCAGAAGCAAATGGATCAGGTAAAAGAGAAGTATGTGGACACAAAGTCAAAAGATGCCTGTTAGAGTGTCTGATTACTTGTTGTCATAGGTCACAAAAGAGCGGGATAGCCTTGGCAAACAATTGCTGCATCGTAATGATGAACGTGCTCTGCTGTATGAGAAGATTAGGATCCAGCAGTCCATCCTGAGTAAGGGAGACTTCCACTACAATCAGAGGCTGGAGGACATCCACCTGCTGAAGCTGGAGATCAAACGGCTTAGCAGAAAGAAGAGCATCCTAGTCAAAAGTTTGCCTAACTCAGAGGAGCTGAGGTAAAAGTATACTGTACATGATCTGATCAGATTGAGGAGAGTAGTAAAATAGGAGAACGGTGCAAGAATGCAATTCATAAACAATAAGAACAAGATAAAGGCTGAGGTGACCAGCAAAGAGCTGGATCTAAAGAAGAAATCAAGATTCAAATAGACAGGCTGTAAGATTTGATGGAGTAGAATACACAAGTAGGAATAACCTCTAAAACAAAGACACAAGGGATTGCATTTCATAAAAGCTGCAGCATTGCTGAAAATTAATGCCTTCGTTCCAACCAGAATCCAGTCGCTTTGTTAAATGGCAGATTAAATAGTGCAGAGCATTTCAGTTATATTTAGTTCTATAACTGATTTTAATCTGAGGTTCTGTGCTGCAGGACACATTTGTTCCACCTCCAAAAAGAGCTGGTCAGGGAAAAAACAAGGAACAGCATCCTTGAAGAACAGCTGAAACCCATAAACATTCACAGATGGAGGCGACTGGAGGTGAGAGCTTTCTTACATGACTGTATGGGTCAGCTACATTTCTCACCTGCTATATTTGTTCAGCTGGATTTTGCAAAGCAAATAATGATATTTAGTCTAGTTTAAACTTCAACATTCAAAAGAAAAGAGTCATACTATGTTCCTAACTCTGATGCAGGGCACTGACCCAGTTAAATACCAGCTCATCCAGAAGATTCAGTTCCTAGAGAAGAGACTGATTACTAAGACCCAAGCTCTTGAGCAACAGGAACTTTTACTACAGGTAAACAGTGCTTGATCTCTATCCATCCATCCAGCCAGCCAGCCAGCCATCCATCCATCCATCCAACCATCCATCCATTATTTTTACCCGCTTCTTCCTTTTTGGGTCGTAGGCATTGCCGGTGCCCATGTCCAACAATCACTGTGCGAGAGGCGGGGGACACCCTGAACAGATCTGGACTAGTCTATCTCAGGGCCACATAGAGACAAACGAGACAAACAACCATTCACTCTCACTCAGATCTAGGGACAATTTAGAGTTACCAGTTAGTCTAACATGCATGTTTTTGGTCTGTGGGAGGAAACCGGAGTATCTAGAGAAAACTCACACATGCATGGAGAGAACATGCAAACTCCACCCAGAAAGGCCACTGGAACGGGATTTGAACCAGGGTAAACTGCTCGCAGAGAAGCAGCAGCTCTACCAACTGTGCTACTGTGCTGCTGTGCTGGATCTCTATTATCAAATTATTTATTCATATTATCATGATAAACCTGTTCATTCATATGAAGAAAACAGAAAGGCTGCAGATGAGTTGTGAATGGACATATTTTTCATCATGTTCTGTTTTTCGCCATTATCCATTATCTTCTGCTTATTCCGAAGTTGGGTCTTGGAGGCAGCAGCTTGAGCAGGGAGGCCCAGACATCTCTTTCCACAGCCACCTTTTCTAGCTCTTCTGGGAGGACCCCAGGCCAACCAGGAGACATAGTCTCTCCAGCATGTCCTGGCTCTTCTCCGGGGTCTCCTCCCAGTTGGAAATGCCTGAAGCACCTCCCTAGGGAGGCGCCCAGGAAGCGTCCTTACCAGATGCCCGAACCGCCTCAACTGGCTCCTTTTGACATGGAGGAGCAGAGGTTCTACTCTGACACTCTCCAGGATAACTGAAATTCTCACCCTATCTCTAAAGGATAGTCCAGTTACCCTGCAAAGGAAACTCCTTTCAACAACCTGTATCCACAATCTCATTCTTTTGGTCACCACACAAAGTTCATGACCATAGGTAAAGGTAGGACCATAGACAAACTGGTAAACAGATATCTTTGCCTTACAGCTCAGCTCCCTCTTCACCACAACAGATTCGTACAGAGTTCGCAATACTGCAGATGCTACACCAATCCATGTGTCAATCTCATGCTCCATTCTTCCCTGACTTGTGAACAAAACCCTGAGATACGTGAACTCCACCACTTGAGGAAGAACCTGACACTTGACCAGAAGAGAGCGATCCATCCTTTTCAGACTGAGGACTATGGCCTCAGATTTGGAGGTGCTGATTCTCATCCCAACTGCTTCACACTCTGCTGTTATATATATGTACAGACACACATACTTCTTCTACTTCGTCTTTTGGCTTTTACATCTTCAGGTGTCACCAAAGCAAGTCATCCTCCTTCATCTCACTCTGTCCTCTGCGTCCTCTGTCCTCACTCCAATTACCTCCATGTCCTCTCTAACTGCACCCATATATCCTGATGCATGCTCAATAATCCAGGTAGAACATTTTTAAAAAGTTAGGTCTGGTCCTCTGGACGTTCAAAAAAACAAACAAAACAAAAGTAGAAATGTTTCGTCTTTTATCCGACAGACTTCTTCAGTCTGATGTGCTATATTCAGCTCAGTGTTATAAATAGCACCTTCTCTTAGTGGATCAACCAGTTTGCTGCTGACAGCCAAAACTAGCTGTTCACATGATCAAGGAGGACCATCAGCCTAACAATGGATCGTTAGCACCCTGATGGTTGTTTGCTATTCACAGGGGACTGAGTAATACTAGCAATAACAGCATTGTAAGAGTTCAAAAAACGTTCAATACAAAAACAACTGGACTTTATTTGTAACAGAAGACGTTTCGCTCCTCATCCGAGGAGCTTTCTCAATTCAAAGAGCAGTGAGTGAGGTTTTCAGGTTATAAGGCTGAGTGAGATAAGATACACATACATATGTAGATTGACAATTCACACTTCATCACCTTAACAGTAGGGGTTTCTTAAGGTCTTTGTTACTCTAATTCACAGATGAAGCCCCTCTGTTCCCTTCAGGTGTGAAAACTGGCTGGGAATCAGTCTTAAAGTTGCATTATAGGTTTTTGAAAGTGGAAATCTGAGGCCTCCTCCTTTGTTAAGAGGTAGTTTTTCTCTTTTTACATAAATTGCTTCCTTCACCCCCCTCTCAAACCATCTGTGTTTTCGGTCATTAAAAAAGTGTCCCTTATCCATGAGGTGGAGGTTAACAGCTGAATCTTGTCCTGAGCTACTTCATCAAGATTCAGCTGCTCACCTCCACCTCACGAATAAGGGACACACACTTTTTTGAGGACCAAAATGTGCACATTTTGGATCGAGAACATAGATGGTTTGAGGGGGGTGGGGGGGTGGGTGAAGGAAGCAATTTATGTAAAAAAAAGAAAAACCACCTCTTAACTGAGGAGGAGGCCTCAGATTTCCACTTTCTAAAACCTATAATGCAACTTTAAGACTGATTCCCAGCCAGTTTTCACACCTGATGGGAACAGAGGGTCCTTACCTGTGAATTAGAGTAACAACGACCTTAAGAAACCCCTACTGTTAAGGTGTTGAAGTGTGAATTGTCAAATCTACATATGTATGTGTGTCTTATTTCACTCAGCCTTATAACCATAACCCCTCACTCACTGCTCTTTGAATTGAGAAAGCTCCTTGGATGAGGAGCGAAACGTCTTCTGTTACAAATAAAGTCCAGTTGTTTTTGTATGGAAAGTTTTTTTTGAATTTATCATGTCCTGGATGACTGAGAATCTTCACCAGCATTGTAAGAGGGGGACTGTTGAACATGGAGACCTCCGCCCCTGTTTAATGATGGACGGTTTCATAAAGATGGCCTCCTTTACTCCTCTCTCAAACCATTGTTCCTCTCTATCCAGGGCGTGAACATCTTCATTCCTGATAGAGTGACTGCTGGCCTGGAGATAAGTGTAGACCGTGAAGTCCTGGCCTGATGATATTGCTCTTCTGTGCTGGGCCATCCTTTTGGCCATTGGCTGTTTAGTTTCCCTGATGTAAAACTTATCACAGCCCTCCTGACACTGAACAGCATACACAAAATTACTCTGTTTGTGCTGAGGGACTGGTTCTTTGGGATGAACCCCAAAATACATTACGGCAAAGATTGTTTCATCCCAAAGATCCAGTCAGTCTAGAGAAATGTGGATATCCTACCTGGGCCTTCCTGAAAGCAGAGAAGAAACCCAAACAGGACTCTAGCCAGCCATCAGGTGAAAAGGAGGATCCCAGACCCAGACAAGTGGTCATGTTGCAAGAGTTTCAGAGAAATTGAGATGTTTATTTTCTAAACATAACGTCCCAGTGGCTTTTAAACCCCAAAATACATTACGGCAAAGACTGGTTCATCCCAAAGAACCAGTCTCTGAGCACAAACAGAGCAATATTGTATATGCTGATCAGTCTTGCATCAGGGAAACTAAACAGCCACTGGCTGTTCTCTAGACTGACTGGATCTTTGGGATGCACCAATCTTTGCCCTACGCATTCACCCGAGTTTGTCTTTAAACTTTCGTTTTGGAAAGTACAGCTTATTCCTACATTATTCAGCTACTATACTGTTTCTATTTTGTACTCATTTTACATTAATTCAGGTATCTTCAATATTTTTATGCTTGTTCAAAACATATTTCTAATAATTCCAGCTTGTTGTGCTTGTAGTGATGTAGGGTTAGTTAGCGTAGGAACTCCACTACAATCAATATTTAATGACGGGTTCTCTCTTTTTCGAGCTACTTGACAGATATGTGACAGAGATACTGTGTGGGAGATGGTCTAATCAGTGACGTGAGACGTTAATTTTCTTTGACCCATCAAAATGAATGTGGTCATTTATTAACAGAATCAAAATTTAACATCAAAACATTGTACACTTGATTATTCTGATTAAATGCAATAACACAGCTTAATTAATGAGCTTTACAATGAGAAATCATACGGCCATGATTTCTCACTTGCAACTGAAATACAACATACATATCCTTAGGTCTTAAATAAGTGTCTGCAGGCTTAGCTTATCTTTTACTGGCAGATAGAAGAGTTTTAAAGATGGGGAATGAAGGAGTTTAAATGGAGAGGAAAGCTGGATGAGGGGAAGTGTGTTGACGAAGAACGACACCCTCCATCCGAACCCAGCTCAACCTCGGTGCACTCGGTAGTGAAGCGACTCGTTACCTTTACAGAAGATAGGCCAGCTCCGGTACGGAGTTCCATTTCAACGCTACCTTTCAGCGTCTCCTTAGGATGGCTGAGAATCGTCCGAAGTAGTGACGGTACTCCGTTCAACAACACGCACACCTCACGGGTGGACTCACATGAGCTGTGAGTCCGTCAGAGGTTCCATTCAGATGTGGAAGATTCCATAATCCCAACTAGACTCGGAAGAACTCCCAACTAACTCTAGCACTTCAGAACTTTTGTTCTCAGAACTCTGGATCATCTCCCAGAACTCCGGTTCATGTCTCAGAATTCCGGTTCATGTCTCAGAACTGCGGTTCATGTCTCAGAACTTCGAACTCTTCTGTTTGGTTCTGCTCTCAGAACTACTGGAACTAGGAAGTGTCGACTTTTAAAGAGTTCTGTTTCCGGTCACATTTGAAAAGTCCTGATTGGTTGAAAGAACCAACAGGGGTGTGGTTTTAGTGACGTAAGAGGTTACTACAAGTCAGAAAAACAGCGGAGATGTTTAAGAACAGACAGAGAAATGTTTTGGAGCAGACAGAGAAATGTTTTGGCGAAGTGGGAGGAAACAGGTGCCACCAGTTTCTTATTTCTGTCTGATAGGTTTAAAAACATGACAGTTTGTTCCAATAAACTTGTTTGCGACTGTCTCCGACTTTTGACCGACATCACTCCTTCTCATTTCAGACAGAAGATCAAAAAATGCATAATTACTTTGTAACAGACATTTAACTTGATTTCTACTTTGAATGAGGATTAAAAATCATTAATACTGTTTCA